GCCTCCCCCACCCCACCCCCCAAAAAAAGAAAAAGAAAAAAAGAAAAGGTAAGAAAAAAAGAACTGGTTACTATTATTCACTATTATCTGAATGGTACCAAATAATCCCAGGTTAAAGAATTGAAATGGTTGAAACTCTCTGATAACAGTGTATAATAAATAGCTAATAAACATAAACATACCTTCTCAGCATTTGTTTGACCAAAGTCCCAGGCAAAGTACTCGTGTTATTTAAATTAGCACACCTAAAACAGAGAGCAATGACATAAATCAGATACTGTCAGTTCAAGTACATTAGTAATATGCTGAAAACAGTCCTTAGTAAGTTCCAGTTCATAACTCCAAGTTCATTTTCATACAGATCAATAGTAACATATATTTTTTTTCAAGACAGGGTTTCTCTGTGTAGCTTTGGAGCCTATCCTGGCACTCGCTCTGGAGACCAAGCTGGCCTCGAACTCACAGAGATCCGCCTGCCTCTGCCTCCTGAGTGCTGGGATTAAAGGCGTGTGCCACCAACGCCTGGCAATAGTAACATTTTAAAAAGCAAATTAATAATTTTATATTCAAATTTCCTATTCATTGTAACAGTAAGCTAAATTTGATAGTGAGATGAAGAAATGTGTACCCTGCGATAATTCCAGTTTGGATATTTGAAGAATGCCCCAAAACTTATATTTCATTTAAATTGGATGGAATTTAAAGTCACTCTAAGAGTTGAGGTATCAACATGACCAAAGTAAACAGTTTATTCACTATGCATTATATATAACCACGGGAATAAAGGATAAAAAAACCCCACCTACTTTTAAGCTTTTGTTATATCCATTTTTTATATAGAATTTCCAAGCCTATCAAATAATTTTAATATGTTTCTATTTTTTCTGCTTTATTGAACCTTACATAGTTAATGTCAACACAACAACTAATCCAACACTACACCCCCTCAGTGTGTGTGTGTGTGTGTGTGTGTGTGTGTGTGTGTGTGTTTGTGGAGAAGAATGCTTAAGAGAAACTACCAGGATTTAGAGTTGTGCACAGAATAGCAACTGTATTTAAATACTAATTGGTTGGTTCTGATTTCTGATCCAGTCATTCATAATGTGAACTTGTAAATTCTTAAGTTTAGGCAGATTTGATATCAAAACAAAATACAATTAACCAACTTTAAAAAAATACACAATCACATCTTTATACCTACACTACCCTATGATCAGGACATGAATACTATCTGTGTATTTCCCTACTTTCATTAGGAAGTCTAATTTGTGGGTACACTTGTTAAAGAATATTGTATCTTGCCAGGCATTGGCAGCACACACCTTTAATGCCAGCACTAGGGAGAAAGAGGTAGATGGTTCCTGTGTGTTTGAGGGCAGCATGGTCTACAGAATGGGTTCCAGGACAGGCTCCAAAGAAACAGAGAAACCCTGTCTCGAAAAACCAAAACTACAACGAAGAAAAAGAATATTGCATCTTGGTCAAGTCAGGGGATGGTTAGTCCTACTGAGTAGTATTTTTTACCAGTACTTAGTAAGGCCCAAGCCAATGAAGGAGAGTCATATTTGTGTCTGACACCAGGGTAGCAAATGCTAGATTCAAATTCAATTTTAAGATACTGTAGGATTGGCACACCGGGCGTTGGTGGCGCACGCCTTTAATCCCAGCACTGGGGAGGCAGAGGCGGGCGGATCTCTGTGAGTTCAAGGCCAGCTTGGTCTCCAGAGTGAGTGCTAGGATAGGCTCCAAAGCTACACAGAGAAACCCTGTCTCGAAAAACCAAAAAGAAAAAAAAATCCTCTACAAAGAGGTTACAGAAAGTCAGTATGGATCCCCTAAGGCCTTCCAAAGACCAGAGAACAAGAAGCTATGGTACTCTACTAGTATAGTTCCTACAGCTTGCCAACCATCCATGCCATCACATTTTCTCAAACTAACCATGGATAAAGTAGAAACAAAGTGCAGCTGAGGAGTGATTGTAGGGGAAGCTGTAGCCACGCCTACCGAGAGTTACCTTTAAAGATCTAATGGTAATACAAAAGGATGCTAGCAAATGCATCTAACAGACTAAATCCTTTACAAAGTACTAGACTAAACTAAGCAGGCTTTTACATATTTCTATCAATTTCACACTTACGTGAAAATATAAGTTTTACAACTGTATATAAATTTCAGGTGTGTCTAAAAAGCTGTGCCTAATATGCTCCTCACTAGACCTGACATGGAAACAATGCTATTTTGTCAGTCAGTCCTCCACTACTTACTGCATTTTTCTTTAAAAATGAAAGGCCTAGCAAAGTAAGAGAGTTAACACTTGTAATCCTAGCACTCCAGAAACTGAGGCAGGAAGGATCACTGTGAATTAGAGGTTATTATGAATTACATAGCAAGTACCAGGACATAATTACAAAACAAGATCCTGTTGTGAGTGGGAGGGAGAAACAGAATTTTGATAGTTAATTTTCTATCAAAATCAGTTTTGGTTTATTATAACTACACTAGCTAGCTATGGTGTTGCCTTGACTCCTAAATATACAATAACACTTAGAAGTCAATGATTTTTATTTAACTTAGTACTACACACATTATTCAGAAATAATTTTAGAAACTCCAACAAAATCTAATGATTTTGTTTGGAGACAGGGGTCTCCTTGTGTAGTCCAGGTTTGGCACAAACTGTAGATCCCCCTGCTGGGCTCACAGGCATGACCTCCACTCTTAATATGCTGTAGATTATCTAAGATGACCAGCCAACTCAGTGGGCTAGCTTGTTAGAAGGCTCTGAGTCTAATCCTCAGTCTCAAGGGGGAGTGGGGAGGGTATGCTGGAAGAGTTACAACTCCAAATTTATTAGCTATTCTGCTGTTGCCCCCTACCCACGATGTCTACGTTGTCCAGGCTGGTCCTCTTGCCTCAGCCTCCCAAATAAGTGGAATTACCCACAGGGGACCCACTTTGTTGAGCTATCAGGGGTTTTATAGCATGAAGAACAGAGATGTTAAAACATCCAACTGTCTAGTGTCATTGCTGTGGTCATAACAGATATGAAATGTTTTTTGTATGAATGCTTGTGAGAACATTTTGTTAACATTTTTCATTATAGAATCCATACCTATGTACTTGATGAAAAGAATTGTCTTAAATTTTCAAGGTAAGAGTAAAGTACATACAAGGATAAATGCTGCAATGTATTTGCTAAGTGTATCTTCAAAAGGCTTGACCTTTGAATCTTAATGAAACGGCAGGAAAACAAGGAAGTTAAAAAGCACACTGAAAAAGCATTAAGGTTTTAGCAACTTGGACAAAAGCCAATAAAGTCTAAGATAGAACTGATAACTCTTATAATAATATTATTTTCTTCTTCCTGTTTAGAGACAAGTCACAGGCTTTGTTTGAAGAAACTCGACTTACCAAATGGTAGTTTTTATATAGTGGATAACATTCGTATATATTAAGATCTATTAAATACCCTTGGTACACTAGCGATTATGTGTTCTGATCAGACAGCTGTTTATTCTGATACAGCCATCATTACTTGAATTTTTAATATTAAGCAGGGTTGGAGCGATGGTTCAGCAGATAAGAGCACTTGTTGCCCTTGTAGAGAACCCAGGTTTGATTCCCTGAACCCAAAAGGCAGATCACAATCTGAGCCATCTGTAATTCCAGTTCCAGTAGATTTGACGGCCACTTTGGGCCTTCTTTGGCACCGAATGCAGGTGGTGGATCCAAGAAGGCAAAACACCATACACGGGATAAATACATCTTAAAAAAAAAATCTATTAAAAGGTGCTGGAGAGATGGCTCAGTGCTTAAGAACACTGGCTGCTCTTCTAAAGGACCTGGGCTCAATTCTCAGAGTCCACATAGCAGCTCACAACTGTCTATAATTCCAGTTCCAAGGAATCTGGCACCCTCACACAGACATACATGCAGGAAAAATGGCAATGCACATAGAAATAAATATTTTATAAAGTCTATTAAAAATATATAGCCAGTAAGACCTGCTTCACTTAAGCTCATTTTTTCCCCTGCTATAACAATGACAAGAGACCCCCATAAACTTAAGAGCTTGGAAAAACCACCTTTAATATCCTCTGGCTGAAAAGAACCAACCTTTCAGTCATCTTAATTTAGTTTTCCAAAATATGCCTTCAACTCACTTTTCAGAAACTTCTAAATTACCTGGAAGATCAATATACGAAAGTGTGTGTACTGGAAAACAGGGAGAACTAAGAGAGCGATTAAAAAACAAACAGAACTTTAACTTCTAAGCCAACAACTTCACATTATCCTTTTTTTTTTTTAAGCCACCTTTTAAATCTTAAGTGGCAACCCTAATAAAGAAAAACAAAAGGAAAGACCAAATCCTTATGAACCAACCACCCGCTGGACTTGCCGGGAGTCAATTGTAAACACTAGCACGCCATTTAGAACAAAACTAATCCTTAAAATCCGCTAGAGCTGACACCGAGGCTTCCCCAAATGTGGCCTTGTGATTCACCCTTTACTAGGTAGGCCTGCGCAGAGCAGGAAAGGGCAAGCTGGCAGTAGCGCACTTCTCCGCTCACTCTGTCCCCTCACTGAGCCCGATCGGCTCGGCCGGCGACCGCGTTGGCCTCGGCGGGGGCACGCCCCCCACTGCTGTCCCCCCTCCCGCGGCGTCCGCGTCCTCCAGGTCACCTTCAAATGAGGGCGGGACTGCGCGGCACGGGCCACCCAGCCACCAGCTCCCACCAATAAAAACCCTCACCCCCCCTGCCGGGTCCTGCCTGCAGCGCCCAATCCCAGCCTCCCGAACCGTCTTCGCCTCGGGTGTCCCGGTCTTAGGGGCGGGGACACTGGGAACTAAATTAAGAAGCAGAGCCCGGCGGAGAAGGAAGCGGGCGGCCGGGCGGGGGCTCCCCCGGGACGGCCCGCGGCCTCGCTCCGGGTAAACAAAGGCTCAGCGGGGGCGGGTAACGGTCAGGTGACCACGCCTAGCAGGTTTCGCAACCGCACGTCGAGCGGTTGTGGCCCCAGCACCCCGATCCTGTCAGTGCTCGGCGACAGCACCCACGGTCGCCCTCACCCCCATGGAAACGCCAGATCCGAGACCGTAGCACTCCGGACGCTTCCGCCCGAAGCGCGTTGCAGCCGCGGGGCTTGTCCCCGCCCGGTCCCCACGCCCGAGGCCGCGCCGGGCTTCTGGCTGCCGGGGGCCTCGTCTCCCTCCCGCAGGTGCTGGTTGTCAGTACCGCGGACGCGGGCTGCCTGGAGCGGCCACCTCGGTACCTCTCGGCGGCGCAGGCTGGAAGCGGCACGAGCGGCGACCCCGCAGTGTCTGCTACGCCGGCGTCTCCTGGAGCCACCAGTCTCTGCCACTGCTCACAACAAAGGAAACATGTGACCTTTGGGCCAAAACACTTAGCGTCACCCACCCTTGGCCAATGAGGGGGAGGCATCCCTTCCCGGAGCACCCTGGGAGATGTAGTTCTTACTCCCGGTGGGCTCCCAGACAACCTGGGTTCCGCTAGAGGGCGAACCCCATCCCGGGTTGCTAATTCGAAACATTTACTTAAGGTAGAATCAGGGTAAAGGAATGCATCTTGAGCAAGACCGGAGTGGTATGTTGATTGTCTTCAAAGAGCCCTCTACATCCCAAAGCCGAAGCACCAGACCGGGACTTAGTCGACCTTAGAGCTTGGACTAAGGCTTGTTTGTTTTAGTTAACAATTTCTAACACACTTGGGAAGCGTGAGGGCCCAAGAGGTGGAATGTACTGCCGTCAGCGCAGAGGAAGCCGACTTTCTCTGTTAAGGTCGCTTGTATCAGACCCTTCGTTGCCTTTTTGTTTTAATCAGACGCACGAGTCGAGCAAAAGTTGTAACAAACCTTGATTTTCCAAGGCACATAGAACTTATTTCAAGATATTGTTTTGTTTCTATCTTGAAACCATTTGGTTGTTTCTGGTTTCTGATATCAAAGTTGTTATGCATGTCATTAACACAGCCATGCCTCGGTTAAAAGGGAGATGTGTTGCCAAAAGGTGGAGATAATGGGGAAAGTTGATGTCCGGGGCATTAAATATGCTTTTAGTTTTCTTTTTCATCTCCTATCAACCTTTAAAAATGCCTACTTATTGAGTACTTCCTGTGGGAGGGGAAACATCTCTTTGACTTCTCTATGGCTTATGGACAGACCTGCAATAAATAAAACTGCTTGCCACTCTGGCTTGACCAGTTGTCACTATCAGCTTTGAGAATTCTTACCTTTGTGAAAACTCTCTCTCAGGCTTTGATTCTATAGTGTCTTTTTTTCTCTCCCTCCCCTCCCTCCCCTCTCTTCTCTTCTCCCCTTCCCTGTCTTCTCCTTCCCCTCCTTGCCTCCTCTTCCTCACCCCTTCCCTCTCATCTCCTCTCCAAGTTCATTTAAACAGAATACTTAAAGGAAAACTAGGATTCATTTTTTAAAATTATGCTTATGATTTTTATTCCTTGTATGTACATGTCTGTATTGGGTATATGCATCTGAGTACAGGTGCTGCTGGATCCCCCTGGACCTGCAGTTGTGAGCTAGCTGCCTGATGTGGGTGCTGG